TAACCGTAGATCTCTATTAGATCAAACAGCGCTGACGTGGAAACCAGGAGAAACATTGTGCCGTGAATGAACTAGTAATGCTTTACGTCCACAGACCAGCAACATTCACCATGGATTTAATACAGTAACACTAACTGTAACCAGTTTGGCTGGAATAGTGAAATGCTTTCAAGTAATTCACACATCTTTTTCCAGCACTTCAAAACTAAAATATTATATAATAAATATATGAAGAGTTCAGATGCAAAAGCCTCTAAGTGCCATTTGAAATTTTCATCTAGAATGATAATTTTTATGAAGCTTGTATATTTAAGTTCAGTAATTTCACTCAAATGACAATTAATAGGTAATCTTCATTGCCATTTAAGTGAAATTACTGAACTTAAATATACAAGCTTGATAAAAATTATCATTCTAGAAGAAAATTTCAAATGGCTTTTGCATCTGAACTCTTCATATATTTAAATGTTATTTTTAATGTGATGACCAAAACATTATTTGTTCATCCTTCAAAGATGACACCCATTTATAAACCTGAAAGTTTCAAGATGTAGGAAAACTCACACTTATTTAAAAAAATATTTTTTCTTTTAACAAATAGGAAATTTCTCTGGCATTTCTTACTTTTTGCTGTATCGAAAACGTACCGAACCGTGACTTTAAAACCGAGGTACGTACCGAACCGTGATTTTTGTGTACCGTTACACCCCTAATATACATACATACACAAATATATATATATATATATATATATATATATATATATATTTATATATATTGTCCTTGCAATCTTTCTTGTGTGACACCTGAATGAAAGGCTCATTATGCGGGTCTTTGTCTTCTCAGGTGAGAACCACCTAATTATACATGAGGGGGTTGGGCCGTTCACGCCCATCCGCATATTGCCTTTCCAAAAAAAAAAAAAAAGTTTTTTCACAATTTAAAACAATCTATTGTTTTATGTGAATGATTAGGCAGGATGATTTTCAGATCATTTTGAAGCAAAAACTCTAGGCGACAACATTCATTGGTCAAAAGTCTTGTGGACACATATTTAGTATGTGTTTTGTGGCCTTATTTCGGAAACTTTAATTTTGAGTTTTTTCAATAACCATGCATAAACAATATTCTCTCCAAAATACAAACATGTACATACATGTTGCTCACATATTATGGTAGCCCTGTTTGTGCTAAATAGAGTGTAATTTCACCTGTGCCATTAATATGTTTATAAGCAACTGAAAAAACCACAAATGTCAGGGCATGTCAAAACATCTCAAGGACCCCAAAAACACCTTAGACCCCAGAGGGATAAACCGCTCAGTGCAGTTTACCCCAGCCATAAATATGTGTTTGTTGGAGGAGTATAACAGTTAGAAGGACATTTTACTTGGGAAATGCGTTAAACTTGAGCGGAGCGTTAAAGACATACAGAAAAGATACAAAAACATAGTACACGATGCCAAAAAATAAATATTTAAAAGGAAATATCCAAATAAGGGGGAGGACCCCAAGAGAAACTTAAAGACACCACTGAAATGGTGATGAATATATATGGTAAGGGCCATTTTCCCTTTTCTTTTGGCTGTTTGTAATGTAACTGATTGTTACTGCTGGTTGCCAAGGTAACATAGAGTCTTAGACCTAAGTTAGCCTGGGGGTAAGGTGTCTATTTTTTTTGGTCTAAATTAAGTCAGTCTTTATTTTTGTGAAACCGTCTAACTTGCATTAGACTAGTCTATGAGCAAATTTTAGACTTGTCTAACACTATAGACCGGTTTAAAAAGCTTTGTGAAACCGGCCCCAGAACTTGGACTCATTCACAGTGTCTACTCTGCATACATAGTTCAGCCTGCCCTCTCTGTCGCTGATCAGCTCATGCTAAAATACCCAAACATTATAAAGGGCATTGGAAAGTTGAACAACATTCAAGTTAAGCTACACATCGATGACACTGTCAAACCTGTCGTCCAGCCACATCGTCGTATCCCTTTCCACATCCGTAAAAAAGTGGAAAAGGAACTGCAGCTCCTTGAAGATCAAGGCATCATAGAAAAAGTGGAAGGTCCAACACCATGGGTCTCACCCATCGTAGCCATGCTCAAGCCCAAAAACCCAGAGAAGATACGCATTTGTGATGACATGCGGTTGCCAAACCAAGCTGTACTCAGAGAGAGACACATTTTACCAACGGTAGATGACATCATCCACTATCTCAATGGAGCAGTGATGTTCTCTAAACTGGACCTCAACTCAGGTTATCACCAGCTTGAACTAGCACCTGAGTCCAGATACATCACAACATTTTCAACCCATGTTGGACTGAGAAGATATTCAAGGCTCATATTCTGTATATCATCGGCAGCTGAAGTCTTTCAAAATACCAACCAACAGGTCCTGCAGGGAATCCCTGGAGTCAGAAATTTCAGTGATGATATTCTGGTGTATGGCACCACAGCAGATGCCCAAAACAGATCGCTTGAAGCAGTGTTTCAACGATTGCATGAAAACAACTTAACTATCAACAATGAAAAATGTGAATTTCACAAAACATCCCTGGAGTTTTTTGGATATGTATTTTCCAATCATGGCATCGCACCTGACCCTTGAGTATGACTGGAAGAACAACTAATATTATACCAGGTGAGACTGTTAATTGTTACCTTGAATACTTGAATACCCTGGGTTATTGTCGTTCTAAACCCCACTTTTAACCCCAGGTAAAGGAATATTTTAAAAATTAAAATTTAGAAGTGGGGTTATCAGCGCTTTTTACCAGGGGCTGTTCAGAACTGTTCAGAAATACACAAGTAATCGTATTATTTGTACATATATGAACTATGCTTACCTGTAAATATCCAACCCGATCATCAATGCATCTAAATGCGTCTCTATAGCACGCAGTGTGTTTATCGTGCAATTTATACGTGAAAATGAGTTTTTCCGTGCATAGGATACGCATGGGTTGGTTAGGGTAGGTTTAGTAGTGGTGTGGGGTGCGTGTGTATTATACATTTGGGTAGAATTAGTGGAGTGGGGTGCGTGTGTATTACACGCAAATGAACTGCGTATCAAATGCACGCGTAAACTGCGTATCATATGCACGTAAAAACTCATTTCCGCGTATAAATTGCACGATAAAACACAATGCGTGCTATAGAGACGCATTTACGTGAGAACAGGCTGAAATATCGTATGGTCCAGGGCCTCTATTCTTAACCATAGGGCCACCTGGAGGGCTGCAAAAAACTTTACGTTTTTCACCTATGGGCCGCGAGCAGCCGCGGGACCAAACAAGTTATCAATTGAAGACACCAGAATGACCACTGTTATCCACGAGACAGTTACAATACACCACCCCACCACTAGTAGCAGTAATGCCTCAGTTAGTTGTTTAACAAACGCCATTAAGCAGAAGACACTCAGTCATTTGTCTCAAATCGTCGGTAATATACATACTGACTTCACCCTGTGCTGCCTGCAATATACATTTAGTTTTACATTCATTTACAGAAATCAGCTGGTTGAATGAAAATTGCTGATGTTATCGGATTTTCAGGTGATATTCTCAATTCATCCAGTTAACAGACGCCCTGAGGTAAAGTGAACTCAGCCTGCAGACTAAGCAACGATTGTATTTAATTGTACAGTACAATCATAACATAGTACAGACATGATCTTAATTCCATAATGTCCTTAAACATAACAATATTGCAGGCCATAAAGTGATAAAGTGCGCGTCCGGTGTACGATACCTCGAGTTGTCATAGACGCGACGCAGCGCGGCGCTTCTCGTCCGATGTGCGACCCCCTTAAAGGGTCATGAAACCCCCCTCTATCAGCTCAAGTCTAGCTCATAATCTTTTTGAAAAATGCAACTTAAATGGGCGTGGATGGCTGTGAGAAGAAGGGAGGGAGTGGGTGTGGCACGGCAGGGGAGAGGGGGAACTGTCATCAGCCAGCAGTGTTGCCAGATGTACGATAATTATCGTATTTGTACAATAATTTTGACCTCTGTACAATGTACGATCAATAATGAACAATAATCTCAGAGTTTTCAGTCGTTCGTCCAAACACACATCCTACCGCTTCTCTCTCTGACCCCGAATCATTTCGCAGGCTCGCCTGCCTGCACGTACACACACACACAACACGGTGTCGCCCGGCCCGTACGTCAACACTACACATTCACAAGTCTCCCGCATTAAGCATACAATTGATATATTATCGAAATATCTAAAATGTTCATAACGACCGCTTATTTAACAAAAGGCAAGTAAAATGACCAGGGTTACATTTTAGACACACACTCTGAAGGGATAGAAAAGTCCTCAGGACTTGGTACCCCAGCTAACACACGACGTAACAGTTACGTAATTTATTCGTACTTTTTGGTCACGTCATGACTTTACTAACTGACAACGTAACTACAACGTCGCATGCTCGTAATTTCATTACCATCATATGACCAACCCACAACGTCGTCAGTACGTCCTCCTAAGGTTATAAGATAACCAACAACGTCGCAGATACGTACTCTAATCGTAATTACTTGGTAATTTTATGACATACTGGCAACGTAACTACAACGTCGCATGCCCGTATTTTCATTACCATCATATGACCAAACCACAACGTCGTCAGTACGTCCTCCTAAGGTTATAAAATAACCAACAACGTCGCAGATACGTACTCTAATCGTAATAACTCGGTAATTTTATGACTTACTGGCAACGAAACTGCAACGTCACGGGCCCGTAATTTCATTACCATCTTTAATTTATATAAAGAGTGCTTAATTCATATTCTCTTTTAATGTAATATATATATATATATATATATATATATAATACAGATGTCTTGAAATTGCTTTACAATAAAAATAAAACCAAAATGGTATAAAAAAATAATTAAAGCATAATTGTCAAGTGAATGGGTCATAGAACTACACAATGAGTTAATGATATTTTAAATTGTTAAATGTTATAATTCTAGATGTTTATTTAAATGCTGCGTGCCTTTTGACGTGTTCTATGGTTTGGTTTCAATGGGCGTACGTGCGCGTAAACATTGAGTAGCATTCAAAGCTATCTGATTCAAAGACAGGAGCGCGCGCGAGCAGATGGAAACCATGGAAACGAGGAAACCTCATCAACTGACAAACAGCAAAACTAGCGTCTCTCACTGTTGTTTTCACTGCTTTCAGGTAAGTTTAGTTACCAAAATCACACAAATAATACATACAAACGTTCCTGACATCTTTCTTACGTGTAATTGATACACTTCTGTTGAATATTTACTTTATAGAAATGGTTTGTGTCTTCGAAAAAGTCCGTTAGCATCTCAACCGTTTTCAGAAGAGCTAACGTTAGCTGCTAAGTTAAGTTTACGTTACAATTGAGCTCTTGTTTTACATAAGTTTGGGGTTTTAACCACATTTTTGTGTTGATTGGAAGTAAGCTAATTTATTTAATCTGAAATAACGTTAATTCACTGTAACGTACTGTTAATGACGTCACTTGCAAAGATAATAAGTGATTTCAGGAGGGACAGGAAAAAACCTCCACAACAAAGGGGGAATTATAGTTTAATCATGATTATAATTTCATATACATTTATTGCACAATATATTACCTTAAGATTTTTTTATATATATTCTTTATCTTTTCTGCATTTCATCTCTGCTCTAGCTTGCTTCCTTGTAATAAACCCTTTGTGTTCTATTGTAAATTCTATGTAACATTGTTGGCTCTGTGACACATTGCATGTTATTTTCTAGAAGATCATCATGCTGATGGCCTGCTGCACCCCCTGTCCAAGACAATCTCCACGGCTATGAACTCGACTAGTAACTGTTAAGCAAAACCTCAAAAATACTGTTCAATAGTTGTGGGTCTGTAGGATTTATGCTTTTGAATGAAGTCTCACACTTTAAATTCATTAACCCCAGTTTTTTTCACTGACATTGTCCTTGAGAAGCCTGTAGGCTAAATAATAGGCGGCAAATATAATGTTATAATGGTCATAGTTATAATAATTCATTTAACTATTATGATAACAGGATATCATGGTCATTGGTATATATATATATATATTTTTTTTTTCTCTAGGTGTGTTTTTAATTATGTTGGCCAATGAGGCAGACACCATACTGTCCAACTCAAAGGTATTTTTTACTGATAAATACTGAAATTCTTTTTACTTTCAAATGCTGAATTCAGGGGGTCGACAACTTTAGGACATTGTCTTGCAAATTCTGTGAGGATTAGGAGGGGTGTCATGCGTTTTTCAGCCTGGTTGTTTTTAATTTTTGTAAAAGTAGGGAGAGGCTGTACCTCAGACTAAGACTTATTTTACATTTGATAATTCAATATCCGTACCTGATAAGTTAGATTTTCCTAAAAAACAAAATGCACTCCTTCAATTGTATTTTTCTTCTATTGAATTTATCCATGCTTGTGATTTGTTTATAATTTTCAATGCAGATTTACTCCTCTAAATAAATAATCTCTTGAAATTTGTTTTTATATCACAATATATATAGCAGCAGATAAACAAAATATTTTTTTAAGGTTTTCAATATTGTGCAGCCCTAATATTGAGCATTTAACCTAACCCTAATTTTTAATTGAACCTGGAATGATAATTTGTGATACCAGATGAGATGTATGTATGATAGATTTTGAACTGTACTATGTTTGTATTGCAGGTTTTCTGGGATCCGCAGCGGAAGACATCAAGGCGTGAGATGTTGGCCTGGACTGATGTACCTGAACACCACACCGACCTCTGCTTTTGCATGGATGGCTGATTACTACCATGTTCTGTATAGGTTTTATTATAGCAAAACTGAGCACCTGTGACTGTGGAATCTGAAGGTGTAAAGTAGTCAGACATCAGTACATTTAAAGTCACAGAGAGAAAGTTTTTACTGCAGTTGCTGCTTTTCAAATTCTTCATTGGAGGTGCACAAATACTTTTTTTTTGTTTTACAAATCACAAAGTAAGAAATGTATGCTCACATTTAAGGCGTGGCCACACGGGGTTTGAGCATATGTGACTGTGAATGAAAAGTGAAGTGTGACCACATGAGAATAGCCAAACAGTATAGATGATTCACAAAATTATACACCAAGAAATATGCATAATTGGCCAAAATGTTACTGTTTATCAACAAAAATATGACCCTATGAGTTTGGTAATTTGTAGAATAGGATTTGTGCACCTGCAATGAAGAAAAAGGTGTAACTGATGTGTTGTGTTTGTGAGAGAGAAAGGAAAGAAAAGAGGTTTGCAATTTTCTCGAAGACTAAAAATCTACAAAATGCACTGTTATAGGAACTCTGTTTTGCTTCAATAATACTAAATATAATACAGTGTCAATCTTATTAACTACTATTTATTTTGTATAAAATCATATACAGTACCGGTCAAAAGTTTGGAAACGTTACTATTTTTAATATTTTTTGGAAGAAGTCTATTCTGCTTATCAAGCTTGCATTTATTTGACAAAAAAAAAAAAAAAAAACCAGTAATATTGTGAAATATTATCATAATGTAAAACATGTGAATATATAGTAGTGTAATTTATTCCTGTGTATAATATTATATCATGTAACACTGAAGACTGGATTAATGATTATGAAAATTCAGCTTTGCATCACAGGATTAAATTATATTTTAAAGTATATTAAAATAGAAAACCATTATTTATTTATTTTTACATTACATTTCTTACGTTATTTTATTTATATTCATATAAAACCTTCTTCTTTAAATGTTTATAAACCTGTTTGCACACTGTTTTTGCTGTTGTTTGTGCTTGGTTCTATAGTCAATGAACTGAATTAACCAAATACTGAGTCTGTATCTTTCGTATGTCGTTGAAAAGTCTCCAAAATAGTTTTGGGCAAATGAGGACAAGTTAAATTAGACCACTGCTTGTCCGCCCATATTAATTAAAACTAAAATGACCAACTGGTTACCAACACACGACTGTTGATCCACGACGTTGCCACATCGTCGCAGTTACAAAGTTACGTCGTGACAACGAATCTGGGAATTTCACTTTTCCGGTTGCCACGGCGTAACTGGTTACGTTGTCACGACGAAAGTTTGGTCACCAGATTACGTTGCAGTTACGTAACAGTCACGTATTTGTGTTAGCTGGGACCGCATTACTCGCAAGACGTAACTTGCATTGGTCATCGACAAGGCCGAAGTCCACCATTCTCCAATTCTCGAAGCTCTCTCGGGTAAAATGTTTGCGGCACTTGCGTCCCATGATGGTCTCTCTCCTTTACTACGCGATATCACAGTTTGACATGTCTGTGGAAAGATCCACGTGGTGTCATGAATAATTAAGAGACCGTGTCTTCTCATAGGATATAAAAACTCAGTCAATAATTATGAGAGACCGATGAGTCATCAACGCACTACACTGTGCACTGCCACGTCACAGCCTGCGATGAAGATTTTAAACCCGGAAGACGAAAATAGCTGGAAAAAACTCAAATTTAACCATTTTCGCCCTACTATTAAATCTAACAGATGCTAACATTGTCTTCAATGTTGTTCAACACACATACCTCTGTTAAAATCTCAGAAAATTTGGTTTAGGGTTTCATGACCCTTTAAGAAAACATTCACAATAGCAGAGGAGTTGGTTTTACCTGCCTCTGTGGATATGTGCCGTGAGATGATAGGAGAGGCTGCTGCGTCTCATTAAGAGGGGAACATAAATAGGGAGTTGTAGCTTGTTCAAATTGGACTGTTTTGACTGTTATTGTTCATTTATAACAATTCAAGTTCTGCCATGCAAAAATGTAGACTGCTGAAACAATTATCAAATTATTTTGCAGATTATAAAGCTACATTTTTTCATTTTCACTTTATTTCAATTTTCATTTACAACTTATTTATTTAATTTGAAAAATATTTATATATATTATATATTTTTTTAATTTATTTATTTTAGCAACACATTTTATTGTTTTTATTTTATTTATATACATTTTCTATTTTTTTGTAAGTAAAATGTGTCAAATCTAACTGATTTTTGTGTTAATATGCCTGACTTGAGCCTTTAAATTTGTTCTTGATGCAGATTGATTTGCTCCATGAATTGTTGTGTGTTTGGCATCTTGTTGTATGTGCAGGTTTACATACACATGAATAATAAACTGTTAAACTGCAAGTGGATTTCATTTAGTTATTGAAAACAAATCAAACCAAGGGTGAGATCAATAAACCAATACAGTGCTAATATTTGAATGGGCCCTGGGCCACTTTGTACTGTAAAATTTGGGCCCCGACATCAAAAAGGTTAAGAACCCCTGGGCAAATGGAAGCCAGTTTGGCTGTTGTAAGTCAGGGGTGGCCCGCAGCTTGTCTATTAAAATACATATGTGGCCCGCCAAGCATAATAAGGTGACAGCACTAGATTTTAGATCACGTATTGCAGTAAACCGTGAGTGAAACCAAATTTGATTACTGAAAAGTGCTGGCATTTCTGTTTACATTAAAAGCGTCAAAAGTGGAACGAAACAGCGTTTCTTGAGTTGTTTGCATAGCTGCCAACTCTCACGCATTGGCCGTGAGACACCCGCATTTGATTGGTTTCACACGCTCACACGCCACACTCCCGAATTCTCACGCTGAAGTGTCAACCCGGGCGGTCAAATGCCTGGAAGATGAGTTTATCTATATATCTACCTGTTGAGCCACTCGTGATCGACTAGTTATACCGCAAATTCGTTAAAAATCTCCCGTTATCTAGAGCGAGCGTGCATGCGAGACAGAGATTGTGCTCCAAACCGCGTAGAGCGAGCGAGAGACCTTGCGCGAGCGAGACCCCCCCCTCACTCGTCTCTACCACCCCCCCCCCCCCCCCCGTCAACAAATCTCACTCGTCTCTACCCCCAGCTTTACAGAAAATGCATGTCTAAAATACAATTTAGAGTGATCTGTTATCAGAGGTGACAGTGTAATGCATTTCAATTAATTTTCATTCAGTTTCATCGTTAATTTATGCATTAAATTAAAGCAGAAACAATGAGCTCATTGAAGTAAAGAATACATGTTGTTAAATGATTAGGAAACATAGAAAACTTTAGCATTGGTGCTTTTTTACATACTCAAAATATGTGTAAAAAAGTCAACAAACTGAAAAAAAAAATTAGGTAATGTTATATTGTTAAACCTGGTTACATAAAATTGGTATCGAAAAAAGTATCGTTCAGGAACCGGTATCGAAGTCAAGGTATCGGTACCGAACATTTTGTTACGATACCCAGCCCTAGTAACGATACACAAACCTGACGGTTCGGTTCGTCCCACGGTTTTGAGGTCTCGGTTCGGTTCGGTTCATTTCGGTGGGGTGGGGGGGGTTTAGAAAGCTAAAATTGCTTTTATTTTTTATTAAACAGTGCTTTAATGAACAAATTGTGTCCTTGTCTTTAAATTAATTCAATTACAAGTAAACGTTTCTCAAGGATAACAAAATTATCTGCTAATGCTGTAAACTACAGCCCTTACTTGCACATTACTATAACATTAAAGCTTAACAACAGAGCCTAGACTTTTAGCCTAAATGATATAATAATAATCAACACTCAAACAACAAATTGTATGAAAACATGTAAACTGCACATAAGGCAATTTTTGCATTAACATGTTTTTACTCTAATTTGTTATTGTCATATAATAATTTACACAGTTGCTGTTATTTTCATGACAACTATTTTAAACATACATTAAATAATCAAGATATCATAAACAGGTTAAGTAAAATATAATATATAGGCTAATATATAGCATTTATTTAGTGAAAGAGTTAGCAAACCAGCAAGCTGTTGACACTGAATGACTTGCCTGAGGTAAATATAAAGCTATGTGAAAAACTAAGCGTTTTATTGACGTATTTCCGCTGTTGAAACACTGATTGAGTGTTTACACGAGTTATGATGCCTTTCAGTAAGTATACTGTATCTTTCAACATATCTTCGGGTGTCCATTCATGTTTATTCTGTAACTGAGGAAGAGATGATCGCGCTCCGCGCTGCCGCATGCATACAGTGATATCTGTCACGCCACATCTAAGGGCGCCAAAACGGCATTTATTGTTTGCATTTCGTGATCAAATAGACATAATTTGAAAGATTACACCTT